GGGATCTTCCCGGACCGGGGCACGACCCCGTGTCCCCTGCATCGGCAGGCGGACTCTCAACCACTGCACCACCAGGGAAGCCCCCAAGATATTTTTGATCAAGCAGCTTGAGAGTAGGCTCAAGCCACCCCCATAAGTATTTCGATCGCCTCAAACCTCAACTATGCCTTCCCTCTCACATCCCAGAATTATCTTCAGCAATAGAGAATGGGAGCAATATAAGGAATCAAATATACGCTTGAGTCTAATTATGAAACTGAGAACAATCTTCCAAGAGGCTAGAGTTGAGCATTCTTAATTGGGAGACAGTAATTTTCCTTTAATTTACAAGACACTACTTGGCTAGTACTTACTTGATCTGTTCAGCTGATCCTCCAGAAGTTGCATTTGTGATGGCCCAAGCTGCTTCTTTCCTTGTCCGAAACTCAGCAGTTTGTAATATACTAATGAGGGCTGGGAAAATGTTGGCATCTATCACAGTCTGGAATGAAAAAATTAAATGGAAAGGGAAATTACAAGGGTTGTAAAACTGTTCATGACACTAATTATAACTTTTCAGCTAGCTTCACTAATGACACCCTTCCCCTGTTAAAAATAAACTGGAGGCTTCCCTGGCAGCGCAGTGGTTCAGAGTCCACCTGCCGATGCAGAGGACACGGGTTCGTGGCCCAGTCCAGGAAGATCCCACATGCCACGGAGCGGCTGGGCCCGTGAGCCATGGCTGCTGAGCCTGCGGGTCTGGAGCCTGTGCGTCTGGAGCCTGTGCTCCGCAACGGGAGAGGCCACAGCAGTGAGAGGCCCGCGAACCGCAAAAACTAAATAAATAAATAAATAAACTGGAAGGAGTTTAACTCCTCATTATCCTTAACCTTTTGGCTATACTTAGTATCACTAACAACATCCTCCCTGGAGTTTGTGACCTTGTAATCTCCTAGTTTTCTACCTGGGTTCTTTTTTATTTTTCTCTCTTTTTCCACTCACCATAACAAATTATAAAAGTTCAATTTTCTTTCTTTTCCTCTGCCATTCTCATTTCTCTCACAGCATCACTCTCACATGTGTGCTCTACCTCTCCAGTCCACATTTCTCACTGGGGCCCCAGCCCAAGGTGGCTGACAGCTTACTTAACATCTGCTAACCACCTTAAACATATCATCTGCTCTTTGTATCAGGTCTCCTTTCAAACCTCTCTAGTTTACAAAGGCTGTTTTTATATTTATTTATTTATTCATTCATTCTAAATTCAATCAGTCACCAAGTTTCCTTTACATTCTCAATTCAGAACGTCCTAAGTCCATCTTTTCCTTTCCTTTAGCACTGCCACCATTCTATTCCAAGCCACCACTTCCCACACAGATTACCAGAAGAGCCTTTAGACAGAGTACTTTTACTCAATCCCTCACATATACTAAAGCAGTCTTCCTCAAATTGCTTTCATGTTTCTCCTTAGCTCAAGAACCTAAAATGGGTTCATATCATTTCATTTATCAAAAAACTGAGGAAATCTATATGAGAGCCTAGTGGTAGCAGACAATAAAGTGCAGCTGAAATCACCCTGATGCATGCTATAAAATGCCACAGTTATCAATCTCAGTCCCTGACAGCCTCCTGGGGATGACTAACCATGCTTTCCTGGTCAAGAACTCTTTCTATTACACTACTGAAGGAAGTCAGTAAAATTTAGTGGAAAGGTGCTTCATCTTGGTCCTGTCATTTACTAGAGGTATCCTTGAGCAAATCATTTTATTTCTCTGAGCCTCAGTTTCATCTTTAATTGAGCATGTTGGGTTAGATGACCTCTATGATTCCACTCAGCTCAAAGTCCCGTAAGTCTATGGTGTATCTTTTCCAACTCATTATTCCAGCCTTTCTCATGGCTTATTCTGAACCATTTGGCCTATGGCTTAGCCTTTCACTTGGATTACTCTCCCACTAATACAAGGACAAAAGTAAAGGGGAGATAACCATTTAGAGAAAACTGGGTCCCCAAAGAGTCATGAAAAATTGAAGCAATCCAACACATGGGTCCACTAGAAAAGAATTTTTTTTTTTTTTTTTTTCAGTACACGGGCCTCTCACTGTCGTGGCCTCTCCCGTTGCGGAGCACAGGCTCCGGATGCGCAGGCTCAGCAGCCATGGCTCACGGGCCCAGCCGCTCCACGGCATGTGGGATCTTCCCAGACCGGGGCACGAACCCGTGTCCCCTGCATCGGCAGGCAGACTCTCAACCACTGCGCCACCAGGGAAGCCCAGAAAAGAAATATTTTATTTGGCAAGAGTAAAGCCAATCTGTTTAGTGTAAAGTCCATCAAAACATTTTGAAAATACAAGATACTATTTCTCAGATCTTGACAAATCACCAAATATTAAAGGCAAAGAGAAAAAACCAAGGCCTAAGTGTAAGTTTCAAAAGATTTAACCTCTATAATGTTGGATAAAAAAAGTAAGAAGTAGACTAAATAAGACAACATTGGAAATTAGTGTTCTCCAAGGCAATAATGAAAAATTATACATACTTTTAAAGGCTGACTGAAAAAAAACCTTAACTAATAAAACTACAGGAAAAAAGACAGGTGCTATGAGATTACCTGGATCTGTGCCCTATTTCCAGCTGTGATGTTAGATATTGTCCAACATGCTTCCTTTTTGATAGACTCCTTTGGGCTACTCAGCAAATGCAATAAACTCTGCAGAGCTGAGCAATTCAAAATTACCTAAAGAAAAAAGTTTGAAAATTTTACTTATTGTATTAATCCAAGCTGAAGTAAACCTTTAACTCAAAGACTTTATTTTCGGAAAATACAAAGAAATAACATGTCTCCTTAAAATTTTAGAAATAACTTTATATATGTAAAAAAGTACTCACTGCTAATAAGAATTCATTTCTAAGATTATCAAAGCAGTTTCATTATATACACTCACAACTGCTAAACATACTTAATATGGCACAATATGCCTTATTCACTTTCCTATGCCTATAGCATATGAAAATGTCTTTTGGGTAAATGTATCAAGTGGCCAGAAATTCATAAGTGGTCTCAGATTTTTAAGTCTTCTGATAATTCTCTACCTGGAAGTCAAGGAATCAATACATGCTTAGCTAACTATACCAGGTGCTTTATAGAATACAAAGATTAAAAGTATATGCCCCCAGCTATCAAACAGCTTACAAAGGTGAGGATGATATACATGACAAATATACATGAACAAGGAGATCTACTCTACCAGAAACTAAAATCATAAAGTTATAATGATTAAAATAATATGTGACAGGCTCAAGAATCAATCACTGAACAAAAGAATAGGATATCTAGTCTAGAAATAAATACAAGTATTTATAAAGAATTAATAAGTATGTAATAAAATTAATCCTTTCTTCCTCCAACGACTGGTAGTCTTATTTAATAGATGGTACTAGAATAAGGGGCAACTAGTTGAAAATATTTTAAAAATCAATTCTTAACCCCAAACAGTAAAATAAATCTGCAACCCATTTAAAGAGTAAATATAAAAAAGAAACCATAAAGCAGAAGAAAATATTAGTTAGTAGCTGGTTTGGGGACAGTGAAGGACTTTCTAAGCATAAAAACAACAGAAGAAATTATAGGGGAAAAATTAAAATGTCACCAAACAGAAATTTTTGCATGTCAAAAACTCATATGAAAATTAAAATGCACACCACACAATGTGAAAAAGTATTTGTAATGGAAAAAAGCGTTCCTGTCTTTAATATGTAAATTGGTAAGAGAAACTACATTTTTAATAGAAAATTACCTCACAAAGTAACAAAAGAAATGCAAATTACAATGAAGCCGATTTTTGCCTATTAAATTAACTCAAAAAATAACAAAACTTGTGGTTTAACAGGTACAGTCTTTCCAAATAACAGTGTGAAAGACATCACAAAGCATTTTTAAATGCCAAAGATGTGGTGTGGAAAATGAGCATGTCAGAAGGTAAAGAATACCTGGGGAGGAGTAGTAAGGAAAAAAACACTTCACGGGAGGGGGTGGGGGAGGAAACACCTTGAAACACAGACAGGATTTCATAAGCAAAGAAGAGGGAGGACACAGCATACAGAAGGGTTAGAAATGAAAAAATGCTGAAATGGTTCTTTATCTCACAGGCATTAAAGAAGCTCATTGTTTCTAGGAGGAAAATAATATGAACAAAGTTATTTTAGGAAAGATTAAGCTGTTATTAGGAAGAATACACTGAGAGGGGTAAATGCCTGGGAGAGCAGGAGGATGAATAAGATAGGTACAGCAACAACCCCTGCATGTGAGAAAACAGGGCCCAAACTAAGGTAATCAGATGTGGATCCAGAAACACTAAGAATCAGTTAAGACCTGCTGACTTGCTACACAAAGTGTGACAGATGGAGACACCAAATATGACTGCAAAGTTTCAAGACTGGATGAACAGTTGTACCATTAACTGAAATGGGAAAAACCAAGATGAGAAGGCGAGACAGGTACTGGAGACATGGGACTGGAACTTGAGAGAGGTTGGAACTAGATGCATAGGTTCAGAACTTCATTTATTCAGTAAATATTTTTTGAGTCTCTATATATTGTGCCAGGGACTATTGTAGAAGCAACAAAAATGAACAAGAATGACACAGTTCCACCTCTACAAGCTTACAATCTAGTAGACAGTTACAATACAGTGTGGTAAGTGCTATGATGGATGAAACAAAACAAGGAGCACCTAATTTAAGAGTCAGCTTCTTGGAGAAAATGTTAATACCAAGACTTGAAGAATGAAAAGGCATTAGTGGCAGAGTGAGGATTTGTGTGAGGGACTGGTCAGAACAGGGATGGGGATGGAAGCACATGTTCCATGCAGAGGGAAGCAAGCCATGTGTTAAATCTCGGAAGTGAGCGTGATCATAGCTAATACAGCGGAACAAACATGGCAAAAGCACAGAGCATGGCATGGGAGGGGGCAGACAGAAACTTTTTCTGAATAGCAAATATACCAATATGGTTTTAAAATTCAGAAAATAAAAAGGACTATATAGTTAAAAGCCTCCTTTCCATTCCTATACGCCAGCTACCTGGTTCTCCACAGAGACAACCAATGTTATTAGTTTCCTGTGTATGCTTCCTGAGAAATTTTATGCAAATACAATCAAAAACATACATTGTTTTCTTCTCCTCTCCTCCCTGCCCGTTTTTTACACAAATAGTAATAAATCCTACATACTATTCTGCCCCTTGTTTTTCTTTTTAAACAACAGAACCTAGAAACCTTTCCATACACATGCCTATTAGCTTCTTCATTCTGTTGCACAGCATTTCATTATACAGGTGCCAGATTTTAAAGGATCTTAAACACTGTCCAAGGACAATAGGGGGCCATAAAAAGATTTTAAGAGAATGACACGATCAAATTTGCATTTTACAAGCATCCTTCTAGTGATATGGGAATGGTACAAGAAATGTCTGAACTAAGCACTGCAAGGAATGAGTAGAAATAGCAGTCATTAGTGACTGATGAGAAAGGTGGCAGAAAGGGAATAATCAAACTAATGTCCAGATGTTTGGCTTGGGTAACTGTTGGGGCCATTCACTGAGACAGGAACATAAATAAGCAGAGGTCCAGGTACATCAGGAAAAATAATGAGTTCCCTTGCGGACAGAATAAATTTAAAGTTAAATATTAAGAGTTGGAAGACACCTGAGAACAAATTCAGTCTCCTAATTTTAGAGATCAGAAAAGTGAAGACATTAAATGTCTTGCTGAAAGTCAGAGCTGGCTAAGAAAGAGCTAAGGCTAAAACTAATCCCCTCCAGGGGCTAATCCCATAAACAGAAAAGAACAGGTATAGGAACTTGCTAAGGAGAAATAAATGGTCAATGAGGCAGAAGACCCAAAATACTTCAACACCACAGAAGCCTAGGAAGATAATTTTAAAGATGATGCCAATGCATCTGAGAGATCAAGAAGAAAAATGGCTAGAACAATCCACTGTGAGTGATGTATCTTGATATAAAATTTGAATGGAATAGAAGGTGACATTAAGAACCAGGAGGGAAGATACTTCTCACATAGGAAACTTACCATGTACAAAAAGGAGGAAGCCATCAGGGAAGAGAAGATGAAGATGACAGAAAGGATGCTACTAGAGGCTTCTGATGTTCACAAGAACCCCTTCAAGTAGAAGTAGTGGGAAATAAACCGAACCAAAAGGATAAGTTACACCATAGGGGAACCCAAAATTGCCACAAAGCAATAGGTCAAGACAGAGATAGTGAAGGTATTGAAAGTAGTTGCCAAAGCCAACACTTTTAACAAACATTAATGAAACAAAGTATCATTTCTCCTCATGTGAGTTAAATACTGTAACAGAAACATAATCATGAGGGGTCAATCTGTTATTTCTGAAAGAAAAAAGAAAGAGATACCATTTATTCATACCTGTGTCTGAATATCATCGCCTGTGACAATGTTTCCCACAGCTCGCAAAGCAGGAGAAACCACTTTATAATCATTATGCCTGCAACCATAAAAAGATGTGTTATATCCAACAGTTCTATCTTTAATCTCTTTTCCTTAGGGCTGAAACCCAAAAGAAATTAATATGTGATCAGCTCTTGGAGCAGAAAGGTACCTATGGTGGTTATTAAAGGAACCCTATCATGATGAGGAAATGTTTTTGGTGTCCCCAAGAAAGGCTGTCTTTCCTTTTGTTTGATACTTCTGGATAAAAACTACAAATCTGTTCTAATAACCCTTCCCAGGTATTCAATCACCTGGAGTCCAAGTTTTCCCTCTCATTCATTAATGCAGGTTTCATTTCCACTTTACTTGGTCTCTATGGTTGCTGAGATAATGGAAAGAGATAGTAACATTTATACAGCACTTTTAAGTTTTACAAATCATTTAATTTTCACAGGAATAAAAATATATCAACAGTTGAGCTAACTTGAAAATGAAAGCCAGGCCTCATACTTCAAATAGTAGACTCTTTCTACTAAACCTCAGCTGACTTACTGGTCTAAAAAACCCCTCCACAAATCTTTTATATATCTGAAGACAGATATTAAGTCTTGATTTTAGGCTAAGTAAGTTAATATCCTTTAACTTTCCTTAAATATCTTTTTTTTTTTTTTTTTTTTTTTTTTTTTTTTTTTTTTTTTTTTTTTTTTTTTTTTTTTTTTTTTTTTTTTTTTTTGGGGTATGCGGCCCTCTCACTGTTGTGGCCTCTCCCGTTGCGGAGCACAGGCTCCGGACACGCAGGCTCAGCGGCCATGGCTCACGGGCCTAGCCGCTCCGCGGCATGTGGGATCCTCCCAGACCAGGGCACAAACCCGCGTCCCCTGCATCGGCAGGCGGACTCCCAACCACTGCGCCACCAGGGAAGCCCTAAATATCTTATTTTCTCTCCCCTTATAATGAGATTGATCACTCTTCTCAAAACTGTGCCAGTTTCTCCACATTTAAGATCCGATGACTAAAAAGAAAATGGTTAAAATATTTAGTAATCTAGAGACTAAAGAGTACAAAAGGTTACTCTCCCAGATTCTGAATGATATACTTCTGAGTCCTCCAGCATTATATTGCTTTTAATTCACAACAGCATTATGCCGCTGATCTGTACCCAGTCTATAACCCCAGAGTTTTTTTTTTTAATGTACAGTTTTACATCTTTATTGGAGTATAACTGCTTTACAATGGTGTGTTAGTTTCTGCTTTATAACAAAGTGAATCGGTTATTCATATACAAATGTCCCCATATCTCTTCCCTCTTGCATCTCCCTCCCTCCCACCCTCCCTATCCCACCCCTCTAGGTGGTCACAAAGCACCAAGATGATCTCCCTCGCAGCTATGCGGCTGCTTCCCACTAGCTATCTATTTTACGTTTGGTAGTGTATATATGTCCACACCACTCTCTCGCTTTGTCACAGCTTACCCTTCCCCCTCCCCATATCCTCAAGTCCATTCTCTAGTAGGTCTGTGTCTTTATTCCTATCTTACAACCCCAGAGTTTTATATTCTATATATTATACTATCTAATTCATTCCACATGTCATCTTTGGGGCAATGTTTCCTTGCATCTATTTTGTACTTACTCCAATAAATTTCACATGGCTTTTAATTATACTATTTCCCCATTATGTTATCACTCTTAATTTTTTTCTTTGATACTATTTTCTAAAAGTTTGATTGATACAGTCTCAAATTATTTATGCCATCAGTAAATCTTCCACTTCATAAATGAAAGGCATCACAAAGAGATATAGCAAAATAAAATTCAAAGTCTGACACCAGTCTAGGTTAAGCTCTAAATGAGACAAAAAGATGAATAAATGACCGTTTTTAGTGGCAGTGTGCCTTCTGCTATCCAGTGGTTGGTCTCAGGTCATTAATCATAAGCTAGAATTACATAGATCAAAGTTTTCCAAATGTTTCTGCTAAAGGGCTGCTTACAGCAGAAGAGTGAGAGGTTCTTTATAACCCTCAAAACAATCAAACAAACAGATTTGACATGAGTATAAAAAAGTAACAAAAGACAGTAGCCTAAAGCACAATAAATCAATATAATGCATTAATATTTGAGTATCAGCAACTAGAAAACTAATATGAGAGACAAAAGAACAGACACACTTTAAGATATCTTACATCAGCAGCTCCACAAGTCTCCTACATACTCCTGCATCAATGACTGCTTGAATTTTATCATTGGGTCCATCTGATAGATATGAGAGGGCCCAGCAGGCATCAGCCAGTACATCAGTGTCACTGACAAACAGCAACCAGGAAAGCACATTCAGACAGGGGGAAACCTATAAAGGGAAGATGATATGATTATGAAATTCAACAGAATAAAAGCAAGAAATGAGGGGGGAAACTCCAGAAAGCAACCAGGCACACACCTGGTGACTTCTGGTGTGATCAATACTTCTGGAGATGGAGCAGTAAGTGGCCAAGTGACATTTCCATCTTTGGGAATGCTGTCAATAACCTTGCAGTTTACTTTGATGAGGTAGTCAGAGCCCAAGGAAAACAATTTCAAAGAGCAAAGTTTAATATATACCAATTCTCAGAGTGAGATTCCTCGTCAAAACACTCTTTGTGGATCAGAGAGGTAAAGGAATTTTCCTAAGTGTTAAAGCTAGGAAATTCTGCATTTTAGATACTTTGTTACAAACAAAAATTGCCATGTTTTAAGAGTAATTCAGAGCTTTTTAAAGGCAGTGAAAATTTATTTCAAATTCAAACAAAAATAAACAAAAAGACCTATTTCTCTAGAAACAAATTATTCTCTTTCTATTCACATCAATATTGGTTCTTAGACTCTTCTCGTTGCGGAGCACAGGCTCCGGACGCGCAGGCTCAGCAGCCATGGCTCACGGGCCCAGCCGCTCCACGGCATGTGGGATCTTCCCGGACCGGGGCACGAACCCATGTCCCCTGCATCCGCAGGCGGACTCTCAACCACTGCGCCACCAGGGAAGCCCTCTTAGACTCTTTTAACTGTACTTTTTCTGCCAATTTCCCACAAGCATAATCCTTACCTTTGCAAATTCTGGAGGGGGACTTTTTCCTCTACAGAGATTAGACAAAGCCCATACTGCATTCCGGGTCATGGTCAGGCGGTTTTGCTTTGAAAATAACCTATAAGCATAATGATGCAATGGTAAATGATAGAATGGGCATTAATTCTCTGATGGCATAATATAAATATTTAACCACTTAATGCTATTGATAAACAGATGTCTTCAAACAGCTCTTCTCCACAACAATAAAGCTTAATTAACTCTAACACAAGGAATTCAAACTTTTGGCACTTGAATAAGATAGGATGTCCAAGGAAATGATCTGAACAAGTTAGTAAGAAAATATCTGTAATGAAAAGTAACACTAGGAAATCCAAAATGATTTCCAAAGATGCACTGCTTTCTGAGGAACTTCCCGTATTTTTATTACTCACCAAAAAAAAAAAAAAAGAAAAAGAAACTTACTGCAGCAGAGGGGGAAGAATATTGCAGTCTAAAACATAGTCCCTGCACATGGTACTATCTCCAGCAATGTTGCCAAGAGCCCAGACTGCCTGTGAAAGAATTATTCATTAATGACAGGCTGTAGAGTTTAATTTTCTCATAATTCTTTCTAAAAAGATGCCAACATATCACAATAACTCTTTACAAAATTATACAGTAGTTAATCAACATATTATACATGGACATTAACTATTAAAACCCCTAAGTTCACTCAACAGGGAGTCAAATGAAATAGTTGTGGGATTGGTGGAAGAAGATCAATACTATTATATAAGTATACATGTGAATACTCATGGGAGTAAACTTATTAAAAGGAGGTACCAGTTCTTATACATACTCTTAATCTTAGGGGGCCCTACCCTTAAGTAACATTCCATACAGCCACTGGAACATAGCAGAGATCCAAATGGCTTACTCAGCTGATTACAAATGTATTTTAAGCTTGCTTACAAAAGAAAACAGTGAGCCAAGAATTTAAGAGCAACCAAAATGCAGAAAACTTTACTCAACTTTTGGGGATGATGGATATATTAATTATCTTGACTGTAATGACAGTTTCATGGATATATACATATGTCAAAACTTATCATATTATACACTTTAACCATATGCAGTTTACTGTAGGTTGATTATACCTCAGTAAAGCTGTAGAAGAAAGTCATATTCATTTAGTAATGATTTATATTTATGAATTTGACAAACTTTGCAGTAATTAAACTTTCATGTTTTCTAAGTGATTTTCTGCACAAAAGTGGCAGACTTGCTATGTCAATCAACACTAGAGATTACTATAAGAAAAAACTCAGTAACTGCTTACATGGTCTAAAATGTATATCTATGGGACTTAAAGAATTTCAGGGTTGGAAGGGAAAAATGGTTTTATGTTTCTAGGAGAAATTCTGCCTATATTCACTATGAAATTTTCTATTTTGGTTAAGTTTAGATTTCTAGAACACTCCCTGTGATGAACCATGGATTGTCATATGCAAGCGATAAAACAGATTCTGAATATAAGACTGAAGGGAAAAATTGTATTCTTTGACCTGCTTCTCTTTACTTGTTTCAATTTTTACCTGCTCCTGGACATCTTCAAACTCTGAGCTGAGCAACTCTATGAAGATAGGCACAGCTCCTGCCTGAATCACAATCCGGGTCTGAAGAGAATTTCCTGAAGCAATATTTGTCAGTACCCAAGCTGACTCAAACTATAAAGATAAAAATAATTTCATTATCTTATTAGAATTTAATAGCTTGTTTACTTATAACAATAAGGTTCTCTGTGCATGAAGAAAAGAATCTGAGATCATTATTTACACATAATCTATCAGGTAAATACTGTATTAATTTTAAATGAAGAATTCCTGAAGAAATAACCTTAGCCTAGAGGAATATTCAGGGTGTCTAAAATTTCAGATCAAGGCAGAGCTGACATGAGACCGTAAGAAGAATGAGGGAGTGCTTCATATACTGACATGGAATGATCTCCCGAGACATAAATGGAGGAAAAAGAAAAAAGAAAAACAATGTACATTAATATGGTACCATACTGTATGTTCCAAAAGGGTTAAGAAGGAATATATGCATCAATTTACTTATTGCACAGAATATCTCTTGAAGGAGTCACAATAAACTGTAAATACCTGCCACTTACATAGAGAGCTCGAGGTGAATGGGAAACAAGTATGGGAAGGATAGGCACTTACAGTAAAGCCTTTATGTACCTTTTGGCCTTAAACCATGTTTATTATCTAATAAAAATAAAATTAAATAATTTCTATTAAATTGGGCAGAGTGAAATGGGGAAAGAATAAAACTGTAAAATGTGTAAAATACAGGCAGAGTGAAAAAGGGAGAAGACAACTGAAATGATAAGTAGTTCGAAAGGAGTTAACGGGCATACAACTAACAGAAATGGCAACTTCAGAGCATAAGAGCTTCCAATAAATGAGAAGTCTCCAAACCAAGGCACAGATGTAAGACTTTTTTAAAAAGAGCATTCTTAAAGGTTGATAAACTGGTAAACAGTATGAAGGAAATTATGGCCAACAAAAAATACAGCACATTATTAATTCTACACATCTCTACAGTAACTTGACTCTTTAGCCTAATATGATGAAATCCAAGAATGACCTCTTATATTACAATTCTATTTAGAGTTCTTAATTAAACTTTAGTTTTGTTTCCTTCTCCTGTTCTGTCTTCTATTTAATATTCTTTAATGAAGCACATATGGGGAAGAAAAAAAATTCAGTGACATGCCCCTTGAATGAGAAATCAATAAAAAGTCATCAAAAGATGGAGCTGTGACTCCTTTAAGCTTTGGGGTCAATTGAAAGGCAGGTGTCATATGGAAAACTAAATCATCAATCACTTGGGGTACAAGAAAATGAAAGAAATGGGAAGACAATCTGACTAGCCCAGTCCAAAGCTACATGAATGATAGTAAATTTATAGCAGAAGACACTTAAAGAAGGGATATTCAAAGAAACCTAAAATGTGATATACAGAAGTGAAATAAACTGGTCTGATATCTAGTTAGGACACTGATATTACAGCAGCAGGGAGGCCAGACTAGGAGCACCACAGTTAAACATTTTTTTGCCTGATAACTCTTTGCTATAAGAGAAGTTCAGGAGACTTTTAAACACTGAGTATCACAAAATAAAAACTCGTATCACCTCTGTAATTAAATTACTACTCAATCCAATGTTCAAACCCTTTTCAGTCTGTATGAATTGAAACTTGACATTCATACAGTACTTTATACTTTCAAAGCATTATTCACATACTCTCAGGTGTTCCTTACAACAACCCAGAGAAGCCTGGCTTTTCTAGTTTATGAATGAGGAAACTATCAGAAAAAGATCCAATGATCACTAATCATTTGAGTAATGCCAGTCAAAGAGCTAGATTACAGCCTCCTAATCTAGTAGGCTTATGGCCCCAACCATAGTTTCCTCTCTGAAACACACCTGTAACACTGACAAGAGTCTTCCAATTGCTCGCAGTTTTGGTATCTAGGGCGAGAAATTTCAAATAATGATACGACAGATTATTTAGGGTTATTATTTATTATTTAGGGTATGCTAAAAGGAAAACACAGTTCACCTAAAATGTAGCTTCTTTGCTTACTAGGAAAATGAACTATGAAGTGGGTACAAAAGCAAACTTTCCTACAAGGAGAAAGGCTCAAAGTTCAACAGAGAGTCATCAGCATCTGAGACCACGTCAAAAAAAATGAAAACTTTGAGAAAAAGCAACCTGTGAAGAATGACTAAGATCAGCATACATAGCAAATCTATATCAAAGAGAAAAAGGTTTGCAGTGAGATTTTGATGCAAAAGAAATGGTGACAATAAACTGAGTAGATAAAGAATATATTAAAGAGCTACCAATGAGAAGAAATTAGAATAATAATTGCTAACAGAAGTCAAACTGCTGTTTGTCTGATGAGGTTTAGCCCCAAAGGTCTCCCAGAAAAAGAGAGATTTCCAGATGCCACTGAAATGAATAAAATGGAGAAGCAAAACAAAATAGAGTGACAATGATTAGGAGAATGGAGAATAAGTAAATAATAGCCAGAACATGAATGGAAGAAACTTGGAAATTAGGACTTCTCAACAAAAGAAGAATGTACCAGAGTTATGTTTATCACTAAGAAGTACATAATGATTATAACCTCTGAATGCAAACAAGATTCAAGGTCTCTCTTGGTAAGAATGGAAATCAGAAAGTAGTTTGGCCATTACCAGGGAAAGAAGTAGATGAATAACTATAACCAGAGGGCCAGTGAAAACTCAAATCATATTCATGGATTAATGAGGCATTAAAACACACACACACACACACAAATGCACACGCACACGCACACACACACACGGCACTGATTACTGTGATGTTTACCTTGTAAAAACTTATCAAGCTCTATTTGTGCAATTTTCTATACCCATGTGTATATGTGTGACATGAGAAGGAGGCGGGAGGAGAGAGAGAGAGACAGAAACAGAGAAACAGAGAGAGGCATAGAGAGAGAGAGGCAGAGAGAAAGAGAGACTGAGAATTCCTCATGAGTATAGACCCCTATTAAAGTGTTGGAAGAAGCAACTTTCAAATGTGTTTACTATGTAAGTATGTTTTTAAAAAACTGGTTGTACTTTGAACTATGTAGTTTCTCTTTCACTGGGTATCGCAGTCTTTATTTTTTTGAGTGGGGTGAACATTTCTGTCTCAGGTCCCAGACTAGATTTTAACATGAAAGAGAGTTGTGAAATGGGAATGTCCAGAGTTGATACCAAAAACAATTGCATAAAGTTATAATAGAAATGGCCAGAAAAGGTAATTTAAGTAACCATGCAACTCAAGAAAAACTCAGCAACATGATGAACTGAAAAAAACTTAAGAAATGGTATCACCTGAAGTAGTACCCAAAATTATTATAATCTTTACTCCTCTTTGTTGTTTTAAACTACTATATTCTTAGTGTTCCAAGAATGGCGTCATGCAAGGAAACAACCTGTCATGCAGCTGTGATTGCTTACAAATTGTAATTCCACTATTATTTTTCACTGTCCAGAACTTTCTAAATAAGGCTACAACTGAAATCTGAAGGGCACGCTGAAGATTTTGGTATGTTCTCTCTTTCCTTTCTCAATCTCTACCTTATGGTGCTCAGTTCCTTAAAATAAGGAAAATGAGAATCCAAAACTGAAGTACTTCTGACCTCCTATCAAGTTTCCCACTCCAGGTTGAAGTACGCCTGGTTCCCTTTCTCCATTTGGATCAGGACTCTGTTGCTGGCCACTTTGCCGGTTCCACTCTGGTTCCTAGCAAATGCCAGGCTCACCTGGAGAGCAAGTGAAAAGAAAGGCTCACATCAGAAAAATAAATCCAGATATCAAACTCTGCAGAGAACAGTGCCTGAGTCATCTGAGCAACCTTTTAAGATAGGTAGAGGGATCAATGAAGATGGGGAGAAAACATAGGAAGATGAAGGCTTAACTGCAGTTTACCACATTAAGCTTTTAGTGTGGACAAGAAAGGTAGAAATGGGAAAACTAAACCAATTTAATTCAAATTTACAACTTTAAGAGGAGTATCTGTTTAATGACTGGAACTAGGAGGCATTTTACTTATTTCTAGCTATTTTTATAAGCTTCTATAGGAAGGTTTGGGAATACACCATCTCAGCACTGCAAAGGACAGTACAAAGATGTTAGACCTGGACTCAAAAAAACAAACCAAGTGGGCCCAGGGAATACACCATAAGGCAGACCAATCTCATGTCAAGGCTCTCATGTATGGCTGAGGCCTACATGTCACTGTGTTTGAGAATGCTGTTAGTTAAACGGCAGAGTCGGCTTCCAAAGTCCTAGATTCCACCCATATTCATCTCATTTGAGGGCAAGTGAGTATCTAGGTAGCACTGCCAAAAGCAGGCATTTTCATCTCCCTGGTTTGCAGTATCCCACTGATAAGGAAAGCCAGAAAGAAACTGAAGAAACCCTTCACTAGGATTCACAGTTCTTTATGTATGGAATGAAGGGATTAAGTTTGTCCAGTGATTTATTATTGAGTTTAGCTATCATGACTACATATTATTACTCTCTTTCTAGAAGAGAAATGGCAAACACCCCATTCCAAAGACACTATTCAAATTTCTAATAAGCAGGTAGGAATATCATGGATAACTCACATCCTAGTGCTCTCCAAGAAGACAGAGGAAGGAAGATCCTCCAAGCTTCCCAGAGCATGTCTAATTATTTAACAATGAAATCTCCTGGCTCTAAGGTCTGCATCAATATATTTGCTCCTCCTGTTTCTGGGGTAGTCAAGGGTACCCATTAGTCACACTGGAGAAAGAACACCATATTGTGCTTAAATGCACACAGAAGAAAAGCTGGGGATGATGACCTTTATATAATAAACAGGTTTGTTATCTCTAGAGTCTTTGGATCGCTAAGGTGAAAATCATGAGGTGGTCACTTCCAGAGGAATCATTTCTCAATCTTTCAGCCTAATTATTAGTTAGGCTGCACAAGGGTGGAATCTGAGAATTCTGATAGAAGCAAATTAGAGATTTCTGAAGGCTTTCATCTTCAGATGTGTTAAGATACAAACTCTAGGATTACAAAATCAAAAATGATGTAGAATTTACAAGTGTTAGCCAGGAGAGGGCACTGCCTGAGAGAATATACTGTGCTCTTTAGGGAATACTGGAGAAGGTGGGGATGGGGAAAGACCAAATTCTCTGACATTTTTCATTTTAGGACTAGAAAGTTATACCATCTTCCTTTAACACATTAAGGAACTGGACCTCTGCAACCACCTACTAAAAACTGCTAAGTCCAGGAGTAAATTTAATATCTCTGAATTACTCTCATTGTCAGAGACAGGATAGAAACATACTTCCACATGAACAAAATGATAATTTTCCCTACCTCCCTCTTCCTACAAAGCTTTTCAAATGATAAACTGCAGTAAGGCTCTTCATTTGGTCCCTCTGGTTCTCTTGACAGGTTGCTTAAGGGGCTCAGGCTCTGTTCTCTGCAGTATTGGTTGTCTGGATTTCCTTTTTTTCTGAGAAAAGTCCTCTTTCTTTGCTCTCTAGGTGAACCTGATTATTTTCCAGGTGTCTGGTGATCCTGGCCTTAGATGGGGACCAGAATTACAACCCAGGAAGCAGCCAACAAAACAGAATCTTAATTCAAATGAACTTGGGGATTAGTAAATGTCAAACTGGAGAAGAAAGACTGATGGGACACTGAAGTACTCTACCTTTTCTGGACTTCCTGTTTTTCCTCTGGAAGGAACTCATCACCGCAACAAAGAGAGTAAAAGAGAGAGAAGGATGGGATGGGAGGAAAGGAGAGAAAATATCAAGACAAAGCATCAAGTCTTATGAATTATCAATAATGCTCTGGACAGTAAGGAACCTGGGGAGAGGAGCTGTTACTTCTTATAAAGATGCCCCAGTCCTTATTACACCCTTAGAGTAAGGCAAAGGTAAACATGGGGGTGAAAGTTATCTTTATGATTAACTTGTTATTAGCAAATATTTACTTGGAAAAATAACCCCATTTTGTAATCTATGTAGGACCTAACCAATCTTTATAGTTGTAGAATCTTTCTAAAGGGCCTGAGCCACTCAGATTAGATCCTACAAGTGAGAATTTAGGAATCACAGGTATTTGTTAAAGAATAACTCAGAAATTGATTCAGTTGGTTACTCCAAGGAAGTCTAGCTACTGAATTACTTAATTACTAGTTTACTTAAGATCCAACTTTATTCAGGAACAATATAGTATTTTTAAATTTCTAGATAACTCCCAAGATGAGAGTCAGTTGACAGTTGGTTCTTTTTACTGTAAAAATTATCTAATCCAGAAGCTGTAGAATTTTCTCTTGGAACCCCTATACAACATTACTAATACAGTAAATTAACATAGGAGAAAGCACACACATTCCCAACAAGGCTACATCCTTGTCAGCTCTTTTGGGGTGGGGTCGGGGGTGGAGGGGAAGGATTAATTAGTACCAGGTTTGGGGATCAGTGAGTCTCTGATCTAGCCCATGTTACACAGCCCTGAGAAACCCAACAAGTACAATCTAAAAATCCTTCAGAACCAACTTTTACTTAGGTCCACACTTAGGTCCTTATAATGGCTCCTCTACTGCAAACAATTCCCTACCAGGTAAGTATGATCCATAGTCATTATAAAATAAAAAGTAACAAGAATTTTAAAGAGTAAAACCAAGGGCCTGGAATATTAACAAAGCTGTCAAAGCAGCTTGCAATGTGGTTGTCAGAAACATCAGTATCAAAAAATTAACCCTTCATATAGATTAAAATAAGTAACAAATCTGTATACAAAATGTAACTTTGTAAAGGGAATTAAGATATGAGGCAAGAAATGAAAATGGTCCGCACCTGCAATGTACAATTCTCTTTTCGTTTGAGGAACTCCACAAACCTGGCCACTACTCCTGGTGTGCTGATGACTTCATCAATAGGAGGATTAGGTTCTGTCTCCCCATAAAAATAAAAGGAAAAAAGAAAAATAATCCTTTGATTTCAAGGCAAGGACTTTATAAAGCTCAAACTTACTTTATAATATCCCTCCCTCCATTTTTAGCATCTCTTTCACATTGTAAATCCAAAACAGAAAAAAAAAATGTAAAACTGAGTTCAGTCACTTTGAGACTAGGGTAACTTAAAAGATTTCATAATAAGGGAAGCCTTAACATGGAAATATGATGGGCAGAATTCTTAAAATTACTGCCTCTACTATTTTAGAAAACTTAGAAAGTATGGGGAAAAACATCAAAAGACAACCACTGTTATTATTTTGGTATATTTCCTTCTAACCCTTTTTCTGTGTATGGGTTTTAAGTCTCTCTTTTTTATTTAACATAAATTGTCTGAAGAAACTGGATTAGGAGATTCTGTGCTTGCAGGATCTAATTTTACCGCTGTAGTGATAAGTAGGAGTCAGCAGAAATTCACTAAGAATGACTTGCCAAATTAATCTCATTTTCATTTATGACAATAGAGTATCTTATAAATAAAGTCATTCAGTAGAAACTTGTTGGGCAAATAGATTAGAAATGGCCTAAACGATTAGCATTGTAATTTCAGCAAGACATCTGACAAAGTTTTTGATGACATTCATGTAGCTACGCAAGAAAAATGGCAGCTGGATTACAGTACTACTAGGGACTCTTAGCTAAAAGTCAATGGCCTGTACTCGGAAGGGATGACTAATGGTTCATTGTTAATTTGCAGCAAGCTCTAATGACATGCTCTTTGCCTGGGTCAACATTTTTATCAACCATTCATATAAACACAACAAATAAATTTGATGATGACAATAAAAATGAAGTAGTTAATGTGCTAGATTACAGAAACAACATATAGAAAGAATAACAATAAGCCTAAAATGGCAAAAAAACAAGGATAAAGCAAAATTCAGCTTTTAGATTTTTTTAAAGCAATTTTTAAAAATCCACATGACTTCACAGACGAAACCTAAAAATAGTTCATAAAGAAAAGTACTAGGGAGTACAGATCGCTGAAAATGCAATGAAACATTACTATGCCATGACTACCAAAATAAACCAAAATAAATGATGCTAGCCTGGAGTACATTATTGGAATGTATAGTTTCAGAACAAGGAAGGCAATCTTCCACCACACCTTAGAGTAATAAGAATGCATCTGGAGTACTGTATTCTAATTATCACATTTTAATAGGAATGGCTGGCAAACTAGAATACATGCAGGAAAGCAGCAGAGTGTTGAAAGACCTTGGAAAACCGCATTATCTGAGAAACCCATCTCAGCATGCTGAAAAGAGATAAGACATTTTTAGAAGGGTGGGGAAGGTAATATGATAATGGCCTTCAGCTATTTTTAAGGTTGTCATCCAAAAAGCAATTATTTTTTGCTCTGGTAGTAGGTTTTCTTTCCAGTTAACCTCAAGGGATATATTAATTTATCACTAACGACTCCAAACAACCATAACTTACTATTGGGGGGAGGGGGTGGTCAACTGTTTTAATGCTGATTTACTATTAACATTTTAATATGGCTCAGAGTTCCAGAGTTTTCACTTGCCCAGATAACAAGAAGTATCATATCCCATTCTACCCTAATTATACACACACACACACACACCAAAAAGGTACTTATCCTGTCCACCAATAAATCCACACTTAAATTTCAGCGATAAACTGCTAACATTAGAATCAACAATCACTACTCTTTCAAGTGATATTTTAAGTTTTTCTTAAAAAAGAGTGGAATTTCTCAATTTGAATTAACATGAAATATTGCTACTCTTCTTATCACTTTAAGATCTTTTATAAGATACCTCAGAAATGAAAATAATGCTGCCTTCTGGTCCTGGTAAGATCACACAAATAAAAAAGGAAATTCAAAAATTAGCCATGGCTCATAATATACCTATGTCTGTATGTGTCCTTTTATTCTGTTGATAGAGATACTCCAAAGCAAGTTATCTGTAGTGTGAAAAACAGATTATGGGAAAGTAATACTTTGTAAATAAATGAAAAATATACTTAACATATTCAGAACTCACCTTTTGAAAGCAGTTTTCTGAATTTCTGTGTTGCTGAAAGCTGCTGCTCTGGGCTATTGGAAAATATCATTTCAATCATATCAGAAGTAATAACACCACCCTGGATCACAAACAAAAAACAAATATAATAAAATTTTAACTTAAATTCAAAGGAAAACAAAGATAGTACAAGTTGTGGCCAAGTTACTGAGTTAATTATATTTATCTACAAGAGTTACACAACGGTAGGATAATGTCTGCATATATAAATGTATGAGATGATTAATGTGATGAAGCCAAAAATCTTTGTCTATCATTAAAAAGCTCACAACCGTGAGAAAGTAATGTTAGTAGTAAACACTAAGACAAGGCGTTTATTATTCTTCCTCTCCTGCTCATCACATGGCTGGCTGTTCCTTGTCATTCAGATTAAATGTTAAATTATAAAAGAAGGCTTTTCCTGACCTTCAAATCTAAAGCAGCTACTCTATCTCTGTGATCACATCACTCGTATTTTAATCCTATGCCCAGCCCTTTTTAGTTATCAGTTATTCTTCTTAGTTATCTGTTTATTGCTTAGGTTCCCTCAGTATACTGTAACCTCCATGAAAGCCAAACACCCTATCTTACCACTATATTCCTGATGGGTGGCATACTATAGACGCTCAAGAAATATTTACTGAATGAGTATAGGGTAGTCTTATATAAATCACAGATTCTAGCCACTGTCAAATTCAACAGCTGACTCTTAAATTTATTTAAAATTTCTATTTTCTTGCTTTATTAAAACTTTTCAGTTTCCCACTAGTTTCTTGCTTTACTAGCGCTTTCCCATTTCCCACTACAAGCCATCCTCAGCATTAGTGGTTAAACTTTCTTCTCAGGATCATTTGTCACAATGAAATAAAGTTCTTATCATTTCATGAAGGGTAGCAGTCAACAAGATAAACTGTGAAGAAAGCTGCACTGAGTTGTACATGCAAGATGGTTGGTAAGCAATACCTAACACTTAAGAATAACCCATGGGGAGAACGAAGCATTCTGCTCTTACAAGTCAGAAAAGTAACTACTTTGAAACTTATAAGTCTGATTCCTGAATAAACAAAAGTACCTGTATGATTTTGCTATGATTATGTTTCCACATATATCTTTGTTTTCTTCCCTCTCTTATCCCCTTATCATATAACATAAGATGTTACATTCATAGTATTTAAATATTGTTAACTTCACATCAGAGTATTTAAGTTACAGGATATCCAAGAGAGAAGTGAATATCACCCAAGGACTTTTCCCCTTCTGGGGAAAAGGTTAGTGCATTTTCAGCTGCATGCAGGATAACTGTGTCATGTTACAAGGAGGTATGACCTTGTCATTGTCTTTATCTGAGACTCAGTATGGTTTAAGGAGTTGGGTATGGATGCCACAATGACAAGGAATACACTGGGACAGTTAATTTTATGTGTCAACTTGGTTAGGTTATGGTACCCAGTTGTTTGGACAAACACCAATCTAGATGTTACTGTGAAAGTACTTTTTAGGTGTGATTAACATTTAAATCAGTACACCTGAGTAAAGCACATTATCCTCCAAAATATGGGTAGGCCTCATTCAATCAGTTGAAGAGCAAAGACTGAAGTTTCTTGAAGAAGGAAATCAGCCTCAAAACTACAATATCAGGACTTCCCTGGTGGTCCAATGGTTAAGAATCCGCCTTCCAATGCAGGGAACGCAGATTCAATCCCTGGTCGGGGAACTAAGATCCCAAATGCTGTGGGGCAACTAAGCCCGCATGCCACAACGAGAGAAGCCCGCACACTACAGCGAAGAAGAACCTGCGTGCCACAACGAAGACCCAGCGTGGCAAAAAAAAAACACAAAAACCTATAATATCAACTCTTACCTGAATTTCCAACCTACTGGCTTACCCTACGGATTTCAGACTTAACAGCTCCAACAACTGCATGAGCCAATTCCTTAAAATCAAACAATTGGTGGATCAATCTATCTCTCTTTTCCTCTCCCCCCACCCCCAAATTGGTTCTGTTTCCTCTGTAGAACCCTGAGTAATACAGTCCACAAAATACTTCATAATCATTTAACGTCCACTTAAAAAAAAAGAGAGAGAGAGAACTCTTCAACTTCCTGAAGAGCCTACAAGAGTTCACAAAATAATAGTGTTGGCAATAACTTCTACATAGATTCCAAAGCAATTTAAACTGCTCTAATTCCAAAAGAAATCTGGTCCATAAAAACTGGATATCTATGAAGTAAAAAAAGAGAAAAAAAATCTATAAAATACTGTGAATATGCTACTATTTGCCCAAAAAAAGAGAGGGGTTTTTCTCAAAAGGAATAATAAGAATCTACTAACAGTGGTTGCCAGTGGGGAAAGAAATTGGGTGACTAAGGCAGCAGAAAAAGATTTTTCTTTTTTTGAAAACCATGTATATATATGATCTATTAAAACATATACAATTGATCAAAATCAAAATGGAAATCAAAATCAAAATCAAAATCAAAATGGAAATCTAGACAGGTGTGATCCATATAAATAAAGCATAATTTTTATCTGTTTATGCAACCTCAAGAAAGTTACAAAATGGGTTACAACAGAAAATTCCAATAGTTGTGATGTGGAATCAATTTTTAAAATCATATGAATATGTCCAGTTTTGTACTGGAATGAGTAACAAATTGGGATTTCCTTTAAAGTATTGCTTATTATCAACTTTTAAGGAATAATTTTATAATTATCCTTTTAAGTTTTAATAGATGAATTGATCTCATAATTAAGTTAATTCTGTTTAACTGCATGTTATTCAAAATATAATGAACATTTTATGAACCACGAGTTTACAGATATAGTTTCCTTTTAAAACTGAAATGCCAAGTACTTTTTGTAGCCATCTAACCTTTTTTTTGTTTGGCTGCACCACACAACTTGCAGGCTCTCAGTTCCCCAGCCAGGGATTGAACATGGGCCACTGCAGTGAAAGCCCAGAATCCTCATCACTAGGCCACCAGGGAACTCCCCTAACCTTTTTATTTTAAACTCCAAAAAAGATCTAACCTCATATCTTCATCAGAAAAAGAGTAAAAAGAGGTTCTTTCATTATCCCACTTACTGGTGCCATCTCCATGTTATTAATCTGAGCCTCATGGAAGCCTCCATCTGACATAACTTCTTCTTCTGTTTCTTCTTCTGCTGTAGCAACATTTCTTCGCTTGAATAACTGAAAAATAAAAGTCTGTTACTAAAATAATTCTAACACCAGGTAGTTCAACATCCAAACACTAGGCACCCCACTTTTAAAGGCAATAAGGATGGAGCTTTTTGAAAATCATTTTTAAAATTCTAACGTTTGTGCCACCTTCAACCTTTCCTGATGAGGAACTATTTCAGAATTCTCCAGTCTTATAATCTAATGCAATTAAGTATCACAACATACTATCAACAACCCTTGATGAGGTAAAACTTACTAAGAGAGGCCTGACACTACATGACATATAAAAAAAACACATAAGGTTGAAAAAGGAGCTGGGGCATGCTTGGTCATTTCCCTCTTCACTATTGAAGTAGATGATAGGAGAGTCTTAGCAATACATCAGGGGAAATAGGATAAAAATGTTGTTAGAATGACTTAATACCTCCCTCATAACCCTAAAGGACAGTGGATCAAGGCTTCCTGACCTTCCCAACCTGTCCAGCAACCAATGATGACAAATGACCTCTGCTTGAACACTACTTTTAAAGCACCCATTAATTTGTGCAGGCAAAGGAGAATAGTTCTCGCTAATGGCAACTCACTAAGATGCCTTCCGTTACATCCTAGGCAGTACACTTATTCATTAAGCCATGACAGAGTAATAATAACTTATCCTCTCACCCTATATGACTAAAAAAAGCAGACAAAATCCCTAAAATAATAGGTTTCAGACATCGGACAACAGACAACAGAGGTAGTGGTCCTTCAGAAGAAAAGAAACGAGGTTAGTCCTACAATTGCCTGGATGGAGTTTCTAGCCTGCAGCACAGGTAGGGTGAACCTAAACAGGGTCTAGAGGCCCCCTCAAGTGAGGAGACAGCATTCAGAACTGATGAGGCCAAGACACCTAGAATCTACAAGGCAGAGTACTGAAGACAAGCAATCAACACAGAACTCCAAAAATCTGTGAAAGGTTCCCCTTAAGTCTTTACTGGCTTAGTACTCACAAGCACAGGTGTGTGATGAAAAGGTCCAAAGCTGGAAAAGAAACCGCCTTCAAGGAGCATGCAGAACAATTTTGAAGGTCACACAGGTCAAGCAATCATTCATGTTTCACCTAGCTATTAACTGAAAAGACCTCCCAATATATGGGGCACTAAGGAGAATACTCAGAAGGGTATTGACTCAGTAGTGAGATAAATTAGTCCCAGATTAAAGACTGTTCTGGTCCAGCCCAATGTAACATAAAAGCAAACTGGTTTCAAGTAATTAACTACATCCAATGATAAATTCAGAATTACACATATTAAAAGAATACAAAAAACTCTGACAAAGGAGGTAAAATTTACAATGGTCGGCATTCAATCAATAACTAATAAGCATGCAAAAGAAGTAAGAAAAGACCACCCACGAGGAAAAGAAAAAGCAATCATATCAATCAAAATCACCTATAAACGGAAAAGATAGAAGAACTGGACAAGGAATTAAAATAGTTGTTATAAATATATTCCATGTATTCAAAAGTAGAAGAAAGTGTAACCATGAGAAGGAGATAGGAACACATGAAAAAAAAAAAAGGCAAATCAAACACCTAGATATTAAAAAGTACAATTTTTCAAATTGTATGCTGGAGGTGATTAAGGTCAGATTAGATATTGGAGAAGAAAAGATTAGTGAATTTAAGGACATCACAAAATAAAAGGGATGGAAAAAAGGCTGAGAAAATATGTACAAAACATAAGTCAGCTGTGGGACAAGTGGCCTACTACACACATGCAATTGGAGCCCCAAGGATGGAGGTAGGGAAATATATTTGGAAAATTAATGGTCAAAACTTTTCCAAATCTGTGAAAAATACAAACCACAAATCCAAAATCTCAAAGAACTCCAAGAAGAAATATGAAGAAAACATGATAGGACATTATATCAATGTTTAAAATTAGGAATAAAAAGATAAAAGATAAAGCAGCCAAAGGAAAAAAGACATCTTACATGCATGCAGGGAAACAAAAGATAAGACTGACAGCAGACTTGCTGCTGGAAACAATGCAAACCAGAGAGTGTGGATCAAACACAGTTAAAGTATCACAAGCGACCGCTGGGATAGCCACTACAGAAGTTCCTCAAAAAACGAAAAAAGAATGAAATTCTGCCATTTGCAACAACGCAGATGGACCTAGAGAGTACTATGCTTAGTGAAATAAGTCAGACAGAAAAAGACAACAACAGATACTTTGTGTTATCACTTATATGTGAAATCCAAAACATAAAACAAACAACTGTAGATAACAAAGGAGAAACAGACTCACAGATATAGAGAATAAACTAGTGTTTATCAATAGGCAGATGGAAGGGGAGAGGGATGAGATAGGGGTATGGGATTAAGAGACACAAACTATCAATAGTAGGTATAAAATAAATAAGCAACAAGGATATATTGTACAGTACAGGGAAACATAGCCATCATTTTATAATAACTTTAAATGGAGTATAATCTATAAAAATATTGAATCACTATGTTGTCCACCTGAAACTAATATAATACTGTAAATCAACCATAGTACGATTATAAAAAAAAAGAAATCCAAAAAAAAAGGGGAGGGGCTTCCTTGGTGGCGCAGTGGTTGAGAGTTTGCCTGCTGATGCAGGGGACACGGGTTCGTGCCCTGGTCCGGGAAGATCCCGCATGCCACAGAGCAGCTGGGCCCATGAGCCATGGCCGCTGAGCCTGTGTGTCTGGAGCCTGTGCTCCGCAACAGGAGAGGCCACAACAGTGAGAGGCCCACGTACCACAAAAAAAAAAAAAAAGGGGGGGGAGAGAAACTGTTAAAAATGGAGGTAAAATACTTTTTTCAGTAATGCAAAAGCTGAAAGAATTCATCACCAACAGATCAGCTCTGTGAGGAAATGTTAAAGGATGTTATTCAGACATAAGGAAAATGATACCAGATGAAATACAGATCTAAAAAACGAATGACAAACACCCAGGAATTCCCTGGCAGTCCAGCGGTTGGGACTCTGTGTTTTCACTGCTGAGGGCATGGGTTCAATCCCTGGTCGGGGAACTAAGATCCCAAAGGCCGCAAGGCACAGCCTAAAAAATAAAGTTTAAAAGAAAAAAAAAAAAGGAATGACAAACACCAGAAATCGTTAAAAGGTAGTGAAATTGGACTTCCCTGGTGGCACAGTGGTTAAGAATCCACCCGTCAATGCAGGGGACACGGGTTCGAGCCCTGGTCCAGGAAGATCCCACATGCCGTGGAGCAACTAAGCCCATGCGCCACAACTACTGAGCCTGCGCTCTAGAGCCCACGAGCCACAACTACTGAGCCTGCATGCCACAACTACTGAAGTCTGCGCGCCTAGAGCCTGTGCTCCTCAACAAGAGAAGCCACCGCAGTGAGAAGCCTGCACACGGCAATGAAGAGCAGTCCCCGCTCACCGCAACTAGAGAAAGCCCGCGTGTAGCAACAAAGACCCAACGCTGCCAAAAATAAATAAATAAATAAATTCTATAAAAAGATTCAAAATAAAGATTAAAAAAAAAAAGAAGCCGGACAAACAAGAATGCACATTGTATAATTTCATTTATGCAAACTAACGAGTGGTGACAGAAACAGATCAGAAGTGGCTTGGAGATAGGATGAGAGGGGTAGAGAAAAGGTACCATAAAGGTGTACCAGAAAAGTCTGGGGAGATAAACATATTCACTATCTTAATTATGGTGATAGTTTCACAGATATATACACATGTCCAAACTCATCAAATTGTGCACTTTATTGTATGTCAACTACATTGACATGTATCAATGCCATATTGACACTGTCAATAAAGTATGACATATTGTATACCACAAAGATTTTTTTTTTTAGTTAGAAAAGAGTAATAGCTGAAATAAATTTAAATACTTCTATTATGTTAAACACTATAGGAGTTTCTAATAATTTTTAAAATTATTTATTTATTTTTAGGTGCACCAAGGGCATGTCATGCGGGATCTTAGTTCCTTGACCAGGGATTGAACCCATGTCCCCTACAGTGGAAGCGTGGCATCTTAACCACTGGACCACCAGGGAAGTCCCCTGATAATGTCTTAATACACACTCACCCTTTATTGCTCCCCTTGGAGGATGCTAAGGAACCAACTCATTATTTTGAAAACAAAGGGAGAGAACCAAGTATTTCTCTTTCCTATATGATTAGTAATTCAGGAAAACAAAAAACTTGTTGAGGAAAAGCTCCTCTTTAGAGTGACCTGCTAGTTAATAAAAGCAGAAGGAATGATAAAATGATCACTGCAACTCCTGGTAAAGTAATGGATCTAGGCAATGACCATCAAAGGTTACTAAGCTTGAGGTGAAAAACTGATGGGTGTTGACTAGAGGCTTGATATTAAGGAACTGTTAACTTTTTAAGGTATGATAATACAGGCATGACTTGGAGATATCGCAGGTTGAGTTCCAGACCACCACAATGAAGTGAGTCACACGAATTTTTTGGTTTCCCAGTGCATGTAAAGTTATGTTTACACTATACTGCAGTATATTATAGGAAGTGCCCAAAAACATTATGCCTAAAAAATACAATGTATATCTTAATTTAAAAATACTTTATTGCTGGGGCTTCCCTGGCGGTCCAGTGGTTAAGACTCTGTGCTTCCAATGCACGGGCACAGGTTCGGTCCCTGGTCAGGGGAACTAAAAGATCCTGCATGCTGCGTAGTGCGGCCGAAACAAAACAAAACAAAACAAAGCTTTATTGCTAAAAAATGTTCACCATCACTTGAGCCTTCAGCGAGTCATAATCTTTTTTCAATAACAAAAAAAAGTAACATCACTGATTACAGATCACCATAACAAATACAATTATAATGAAAAAGTTTGAAACGTGAAAACTACCAAAATGTGACATAGAGATACGAACTGAGCAACTGCTATTAGAAAAATGATGCCAACACACTTGATGCAGGGCTGCCACAAACTTTCAATTTATTAAACACATACACACACACAATATCTGTGAAGCAT